GGAACACCTTTGAGTATCGAAAAGTACATCAGTACAACTGGTACCGTGAAGCTTTTGCACAGAAGTCGATGATCGATTTGATAATCGTATCATCTGACTTAAGACTCAGTAATGGATGTTCGTGTTAAGAAAGGCGCAGAGCTATCAACCGATCATCATCTTGTTGTTGGCATGGTGCACTGTAAGAAATGGAGTACCATACGAAGATCTGGTGGCAGAAGCAACGGGAAACATTGTTTTTGGTGGACAGGGGAGCGACATTTGCAAACAACATCGCACGACGGTTTGAACAGATCCCAGTGATGACAACTGATGTTGAAACCGAGTGGTAGCTCTTTAATAGCGGCATATTCGAAGCTGCCGCCGAATGCTGCAGATATAAACGGGTTGGCCTACCGCCTGGATGTCAGAAAAGATCTTTATGGTGGACACAAGAGGTACAGCTGGCAGTTAAAGAGAAGAAAGCAGCGTTCAGGAAATCGCTTGGAAACAAAGAGCCTTCTACTCACGTGTGATATATCGAGGCATGCAAGGCGACGGCGACGGCTATAGGAGTGGCAAAGGCCAAAGCTGATTCCTGGGAGAAGTTCGGTGAGGTTTTGGAGTCGAATTTCCATGCGGTAAACAAAGTATTCTGGCGCACCATCCGCCCGCTTCGAGGTGAAATTAAGGGCAGTCTCAGAGTTTTGAAGGACAGGTCAGGAGACTATTTGGCGATGGATTGAGTACTTTGGGGAACTCCTTAACCTGGAGCAACCGCAGGAAGCCTCGTCTGTAGTGCAGCAGGGAACGGATATTGTTCTTTCTGTAGATGAAATTACACAAGCTGTGAAAAGCTTGAAAAATTTAAAGGCTGCTAGAATTGATGAAATCCTCCCTTAGATGCTCAGGCATTAGGCGAACAAGGCATGTGCTGGCTTTCGCGTGTCTGTAAAACTGCGATGACTACGCGAAAGACACCTGCGGACTGGAGAACGGGAGTTATTTTACCCGTATTCAAGAAAAGAGAATACAAGGATTGATCTAATTATCGGGGTATTACGTTGTTGATCCTCCGTGGTAACGTCTGCGCAATGATTCTAGAAGGGAATTGCCGCGGAATTACTGAATCCAAGATATTAGAAGAGTAGTGTGGCTTTCGGCCCAGTCAAAGCACCTCTGACCATATATTGGCTTGCGCCAGATTGTTGAGAAATTGTGGGAGTACACTCGTGCGGTGCACATGTGTTTTGTTGACCTAGAAAAAGCCTATCACCGAATCCCTCGCAACACTATTGGCATGCCTACGAACGAATGGAATTGATTGTCAGTTGCTACGGGTCATCGAATCATTGTATGCTGAGAATAGCTGCTGCATTAGGTGAGCAGCGTTAAGACGAAGACTTTCAGTGTTCGCACTGGTTTTTGCAGGGATTGCATCCTGCCTCCTATCCTGTTTGTTTTTACATGGATAGAATAGTCAGGAGTAGCCAAGGCGATGAGTGTTTTGGTGTAGGATATGTGAAGACGAGAAGGTTTCTGTTTGCAGACGAGCTTGTTTTATTGGCATCTTCTGAAACTGATCTACAGTGCTTCCTAGAACGGTTCTCAGCCGAGTGCGATGTGACTAGTATGCGTGTGAACGTATCTGAAACGAAAAGCCTTGTGCTTTCTCGTTCTGCTGACCTTACGGAAAGGCAGTGGAGAAGATGGATAAGTTGAAGTCCGTCACAGTGGTATTTACTAGTGATGGAAAATTTAAGTGCGAGATCTTGCGGTTAATATGAGTAGCCGGTGGCGTTTACGTGAACTGGCCCGAACTATTGTCACTAAGGCAGATCTGAGTCTGAAAATTACGCTCTCGGTATTCAAGTTGATCTTTATCTCCATGCATACATACGGGCGGAAGTCGTGGACGATGCCTGAAAAGCTTCCATCTCGGGTAGAATGTGCTGATATGAGCTTTCTGACCGTAGTCGCAGGCTTTTAGTTTCTCAACATGGTCCCAATTGGATTACAGACATCTACGCGAACCTTATTGTGCAGCCGCTGCTTCTTCAGATGGTTTGGTCACGTGTTGCGGATGCGTTCATAGTGGATCGCTAAGCAATTGCTTCTTAGCCAGTCGACCGGCAGAAGGTCCACGGGACGGCTAAGATTGACTTGGTGCAAATATATGGATAAAGTTTGTTCCAGACTCCAGTTGTCTTCTGTCGAAGTTGAGGCTCTGGCACAAGATCGGGAACGTTGGAAGCACTGACTGAGGAGTTTTCCTCTGGAACCCAAAAGGAGAATCGGGCATGGAAGATGAAGATGACAAAATGAAAATATCATGTGCCTGTTGTAAGGCATTAATCGCAGTAGTAAGTACCATCTTCTATTCAAAAGGATGAATTTATTAATCGTTAACTTTGGACATCGTTATTTCGTTTGATTTTTTAGTATATGACCTTTAACGGTCGACAAAGTTTTCTTTTTGCATTTTTAATATCATCCATCAACTATCGTTTAAATTTTCTGTTCGCATTTGTGAATAGTCGACATTTCCGTTCAGGGGTTGATTTTATTCGTTCGCAGTCATTAGAACGGATGTCCGGATCCTGTATGGTACTCCTCGCTCCACTACTGCAGTATCAGCTACTTCGTACTAATCCGCCAACAGCTGGTTTGTTTTCCTTTCACTTCATTAATTTTCGATCCATGATGTTAGTGTTTAACTACTAAAAATGCGCGTCGTTTCAGTACAGCCCACAGCATCCTCAGATAAAAAGTTAATCGATATTAACGGTAAGTACAACCGATATATTTTCGAATGCGATCCATTTTCATAGAAACTATTGCCACCAACGCCAAACGTTTACTTGCTTGGTTGAAATGACCAAAAGTCTCCTTTCATTCTGATAGCTATTTCAACTTCGCGATACTTGAGTGATCCATACTAGCAAAAGTCAGATTTATAAAATTTCTTTTTGTTGGTGGTACTGTACAACAGGAAGTTTGCAGAAATCTACGTTTTACTGCAGGGTTTGGAGATGTTTTGCAGATAAGGGGTTACAGTTGTATTGGAAATGTTTAGGATTATATGTAGCCGGAATTATTAATACTGAAATAGAAGACTAATACTAATAAAAAAAATGGTTAAACTATTCAACGTACTATCTATTACATGATTTACAGGCAGCCTACACAGCCGAGAAATGGCACTTTCTGTACTTTGAGCAGCGCCAGTCAGATTCTCGGTATTCAGAGTCTGAAAGACTGCATTAATCCGCTTAAGACTGGGGCTGCGTTCCTAAAATCACAACTTATCACCTATTTTCAAAATGGTTGCACCTCAGAAATCGTGCAACGTAAGAGCTTCTAAATATTTTGTAATTTTCTCATTTCTTAATGGATTGTTCATTTTTTATGATGAATCTGTAATTCTGCGAATGGAATTCCATGAAATATGTAACCTAAGCCATATGTTATTCTTCAGTGTAGAAACCAAGCGTTTCTCCTGTGATTCGCTTAATGGCTTTTACATTAATTTAACTGAAATTTTTCCGAGTGGTAAATCATGTAAATGGCACCACCATACACTTTCATATTATGTAAATCACTGCGATGCATGTTTCCATAGCACCACTGCAAGGATTTCCCTCGTTCTTGAAGGCGGGCAAATCAGATTTTTTGTCTTTCCGTGGCGAATA